GTTGGCATTTAGTGATGCATTACAGTTTCTAATGACTCTTTGTATTTCTGAGGTTTCAGTTGTTATGTTTCCATTTTTGTTTCTGATTTTGTTTATTTGGATCTTCTCTCTGTTTTTCTCAGTCTAGCTAAAGGTTTGTTGGTTTTGCATATCTTTTTGAAAAGCCAACTTTTCATTTTGTTGATCATCTGTAGTTTTTTAAGTCTAATTTTATTTATTTCTGCTCTAATCTTCATTACCTCTTTCCTGCTACTAATTTTGGGTTTGGTTTGTACTTGCCTTTCTAATTCTTTGAGGTACGTTCGTGGGTTGTTTATTTTTAAAGTCTTTCTACTTTTTTGATATCGGCATTTATTGCTATAAAATTCCTTGTTAGTATTGCTTCTGCTATATCCCATAGATTTTGGTATGCTGTAGTTCAACTTTCATTTGTTTCAAAAATGTTTAAATTTCCTTCTTGATATCTTCATTGACTGATAATTCAGGAGCATGTTGTTTAATTTACATATATTTATGTAGTTTCCAAGGTTTCTCTTGTTATTGAGTTCTAGTTTTAGTTCACTGTGGTCAAAGACACTTGCTATAACTTCTAGTTTTTAAAATTTGATCAGGTGTGTCTTGTGGCCTGATAGGATTATTCTGGGGAATGTTCTATATGCTGTTGAAAAGAATTTGCATTCTGCAACAGTTGGGTGAAATGTTCTGTAAATGTCAGGCCTATTAGGTCTAGCGTGTAGTTTAATTCTGCCGTTTCTTTGTTGATTTTCTGTCTGGATGATCTGTCAATTACAGAGAATGGTGTGTTAAAGTCTCTTACTATTATTGCATTGCAGCCCCTCTCTCCCTTCAGATCTATTAGTGTTTGCTCTATATATTTGGGAGCCCCAATGTTGGGTGCAGAGATACTTAAAATTGTTATATCCTTTTGCTGAATTGACCCCTTTATCATTATATAGTGACCTTCTTTGTCTTCTTTTACAGTCATTGATTTGTAGTGTATTTTATCTAAATATAGCTACTCTTGCTATTTTTGATCTCCAGTTGTATGGAATGCCTTTTCCCATCCCTTCACTCTCAGGCTATGTGTGTCTTTAGAGGTGAAGTGGGTTTCTTGCAGGCTGCATAGAGTTGAGTCTTGTTTCTTTATCAAGCCACTCACTGCATTTTAATTGGAAAATTGAGACTATTTACATTCAGTATTATTATTGATAAGTAAAGACTTACTACTGCCATCTTGTTGCTTGTTTTCTGGTTCTGCAACTTTTCTCTTCCTTTCTTCTTTTCTTACCATCTTCCTTTGTGGAAAAGTGATTTTCTTCGGTGGAATGTCTTAGTTCATTACTTTTTATTTTTAAAATCTGTTATGGATTTTTGCAATGTGGTTACAATGATGTTGACGAAGAACATATATATTACAAGTTATTCCAAAGAGATGATTATTTATCTTACATCAAAGAAAATAATAGAAACAAAGAAACAAGTGGAAAAAACTACACTTTAACTCCATTCCCCTACATTTTAACTTTTAGTTGTCTCAATTTACATATTTTCATATTATCTGTCTCTTAACAGGTTGCTACAGCTGTTATCATTTTTGATAGATTTGTCTTTGGGCTTCGTGCTATAATTATGAGGGGATTATGTACCAAAATTACAGTATTAGAGCATTCTGGGCTTGTTAATGTATTTAATTTTATCCAGGGGTTTCATACCTTCAAATGTTTTCTTTTTGCACATTAGTGTTTTTTTTTTTTCCTTCCAACAGAAGAACTCCCTTTAGCATTTCTTGTAAGACAGATCTGACGGTGGTAAATTCCTTCAGCTTCTGCCTGTCTGGGAAACACTTTATGTCTTCTTCACAGTCAAAGGATAGATGCAATATCTTGGATGGCAGGTTTTTTTGTTTTTGTTTTAGTTTTTTTTCTTTAGCAGTTTGAAAATGTCATTTTACTCCCTCTTGGCCTATATGGTTTCTAGTAAGAAGTCCATATCCAGATGAATTAGAGCTCCTTTACACGTTATTTGCTTCTTTTCTTTTACTGATTTTAGAGTTCTATCTTTGTCTTTGACTTTTGAAAGTTTATTATCTGCCTTGGGGTAGAGTCTTATTTGGGTTGATTTTGTTTGATGTTCTCTGATCTTCCCATATCTGGATATTTACATCTTTCTCAATTTTTGGGAAATTTTCTGTTATTATTTCTTTGAATAAGCTTTCTACTTCTTGCTCTTGCTCAACTCCCTCTTGAACACTGATAAGTCTTAGATTTTGTCTTTTGAAGTAATTTTTTCTATATCTTGTATACAGTCTTCATTTCTTTTCATTCCTCTTTTTTTTCTGATTGTGTATTTTCAAATAACCTGTCTTTGAGCTCATTAATTCTTTCCTTTGTTTGACCCATTCTGCTGTTGAGAATTTTTAGTAACTTTTTCAGTTCAGCAAACGTATTTCTCAATTCCAAGATTTCTTTTTTAATTTTTAAATTATTTTCATCTCTTTGTTAAATTTCTCTGATATATTTCTGAATTGCTTTTCTGTGTTATCTTGGAGATCACTGAGTTTCCTAAAAACTACTATTTTGAATTATCGGCCAGAGAGCTCACATATTGCTGTCTCATTAGGGTCAGTTACTGGTTCCCTGCTTTGTCTATTTGGAGAGATCATGGTTTGCTGTGTGCTGTTGCTTCTTGTGGATGTACAACTATGTCTTTGCATTGAGGATTTGCTATTTATTCCAGTCTTCTCTGTCTGACTTGTTTTGGTTTTTATTGCATATATTTTCTTAGAGAGTCTTTATCACTAGGTTGTTGTCTCCTTTTGGCTCTAGGTTGCGCCTTAAGCCCAGATTTGCTTTCGCTCTAGTAACCCATCAGTCACTGGCTGTCCTGAATGGGGGAGCTCCCAAAGGAGATATCCCAGATGTGTGGGAAGCCTGGCTAGGGGTTTGTCCAGGGGACCTGCTGAATGTACCTCCTGCAGTGTAGTGGTATTGAATAGCCACTCTGATTTAGTGTCTCCTTTGGCTGAGCTACAGAGTAACTGTCCCACCTCCCTACTTTGTCTCTGCCTGTTCTCAGGGATATTTCTCCCTTCCAGCACTTGTGATACTTCCCATAGGTTAAGGCAGAGACAGGTATTTTGTCAGGGAACCCAAGGTGGTGGGAAAGCTGGTTGTCTACCTTGATCGTGTTTTCTTCAGTGTAGAAACTGAGTTGGGGGGAAATTTTTCATGTGTTTGGTGTCAAGCAGAATGGGGGAGAAGGGTGTCATGGATGTGGAAATCTGATTCTATTACAGTCGGCTTGGAGGCTTTTTCATATTTTTTTTCACTTCTCTGAAGCCTGAGGAACCATCTCATCCTCATATTTGAGTTCTGGAGTTCTGGGATATTGCTAATGCTAACCTTGGTGCTGTATATTTGTTTTTGATTTTCTGAGGGCTCAGGGGGGCATTCAGTCAGCTTGCTTCTATGCTGCCATTTTGGAACTGGAAGTCTAGTCCTATCTATGTTGCGCTATTATGTTCTAAATGTTTGTGTTCCCTCAAAATTGCTATGTTGAAAACCTAACCCCCGATATAATGGTATGAGGAAGTGGGGTCCTTGGGAAGTAATTAAGTCATGAGAGTGGAGCCTTCATGAATGGGAATAGTGTCCTTATAAGAAGAGACACAAGAGAGCTTGCTTCCTGTCTCTCTCTTTTGCCACATAAGGATAGAATGAAAAGTTGGCAGACTGCAACCTGGAAGAGGGCTGTCATCAGAACTTGATCATGCTGGCACTTTCATCTTGGATTTCCAGCTTCTAGAACTGTGAAAAATAAATTTCTATTGTTTACAAGCCACCTAGTCTATAGTACTTTTTTATATTAAACTGAAAAAAACATGCATGTATATGAATTTTATTTTTTACTGGATTAGTGGATTTGCAGGTCCTTTACTGCCATCCTTCTTTGGCTGTGTCCACATAATGCAGAAATGACTCATCTATTTGACAAGTTATAGAGTCAGAGAAAGGGATCTGCCAGACTGACTTGAGATAGCATATGTAAAAATATCTAACACAGTTATTGGCCATTGGTAGTTGCTCAAAGAATTTAATCATGAACTCCAATTCTATGTTCAAATTTCACATTGAAGACTTTTAATTTCCTTTTAAATTAAAATGCATAAAATGGCTATGGTAGTTGCATTAGTTTCCTAGGACTGCTGTAAGAAGTTAGCACAAACTGGATAGCTTAAAACAATAGAAATTTATTCGCTCACAGCTCTGAAATCTAGGCATCTGAAATCAAGGTGCTGGCAAGTTTGGTTCTTTAGAAACTCTGAAGGAGAATCTGCTCTATGCCCCCTCCTACCCTCTCTGCTGGTTTCTGGCAATCCTTGGTGTTCCTTAGCTTACAGATACATCACTCCAATCTCTGCCTCTGTCTTCACATGTCTCATTTCTGTGTGTCTCTGTATTTCTTAAAATCTGCTTCTCCTTATCAGGACAATAGTCATTGGGCCCACCTTAATCCAGCAAGACCTTAACTTAGCTTGATTACATCTGAAAAAACCCTATTTCCAAATAAGGTCACATTCACAGGTATGGCAGGGGGGAGCTGGTGTAGGACTTGAACATATCTTTATAGGGGACACAATTTAAGCAAACTGCAATTGCATACTGATGAGGTTTGAGTTTGAGTGACTCTGGAAATTCCTTACCTCCCTTGATTGCTGCATTCCCACTGCATCTGGCTGCTATGAATCTTTAAAATCCTATTTAAATATATTTGTGTCCACTGAGGTTACATGATTGAATTCAAAATCTTTTTCTAAAGGTTACCCTCTCCTTAAAAATCAAACTATCACCTTGATTGCATGTGTGGAGAGACCTAAGTGGAGATACTGGTGAGAAGAGGATCCACAAGGATATTCTTTGAGGCTGCTCACATGTTGACAAGGAGAATGAAGTAATTCACAACTTAATTCAACTCATTTTTCTTAAGTTTTAACAACTTACCAGAGTACATCGTCAGGGGATGTCAAATCAAAAGCACAACTCTCGACACCGTCTTTAAATTTGATGACCTTCGAGTAGATCCAGACAGGCAATGCCAGGATAAAGGAAGCTGCCCAAACGCCCAAATTGATTCGGATGGTCTTGTACCTTGTTCTCCAACTTGTCAGTCGAAATGGTTGGACGAGGGCAAAGTACCTGCAAAAGCAGTCAGGAAGAGTTTTGGAACAATCAATAAAAACATTGAGCTCCAAGGATGAAAGTTCATGACGAGAGTAAATTATTAGCATTATTGTCCTCTCTGAAGCACACCTCTATCAGGGTAAAAGAAAGTTATATTTTTTAAGAGCTGCCTGGTATCTGTAGAGAAAACAATTCTTGACCCTGCAAGTCTGAATAATCCACTCACTGAAATAGCTGTTCCTTCTATGAACACACTGATAATGGCAAAATTCTGCGGTGCACTCTTTACAAAGGTGCTTTTCCTGTAAATGAGACTCTGGAAAACTTTGTCTCTGAATACGGATTTCCTCCAGGAGGAAATGACCCTTTTCCCAGCAAGATTTACTGACACAGAGGCAGGAAGGAGGAAAATGTGGGGCTAAGAGAATCTCTCAGCAGAAAGGGATTCAGGAACATAGAACAAACATTTTGCCCTGATGGCTTTATACTAAAGTCACCACGCTCATGGAGTTTCAGCTCACAGAAGTCACAGTGAGGATGAACAAATGTGACTAGTATAGACAATGCAAATTCCTTAAGGAACTTAGGCTAGGAGCCAGAGGGAAGAAATGGGCTAATTTCATGGGGAAGCATTTTTCTTTATTTTTTTTCTTTTCATTTTACAGCCAGGAAAAAAGCGGTAATCATTAATCAAACTTGAAATTCTGACATATCTAATATATTTAGTCCTCCAGCAAATCCAAAGAATTTTTCAGAGCAAAATGAAAACTGAAGAATGAGAAACAAGAGCTCAGATTCAGAAGGAAGGCCTATTTGAAAAAGCACAGCTTTGCTGGGGGCTAGCGGGTGGTAGAGGATAGTATCAGCAGAAATTAAACAAATGTAAAAATGGTTTTTATGGTCACTTAAATTTCTCCAAGTTTTTGTAAAGCTACTTAATGAAGACTCACAAAAATAAAAAAATTTCCTCTTCTTTTGCCCTTTCAATTTTGCACCAGAAGCAGGACATTTGTATTCAGTTAAGGGGCCTTTGGTTGCAGAGAGTGGTTTCTGGCCAGGGTTCCTCAGCTACCCATCCTCTGCACACTGCACATGCATTCCCTGTGGCTAAGGAGAGAAGGGCCTCTTTTCTCCCTGCTGGGGAAGTGGATGCCGTAGTGACTGCATAGCAGCCCAGCCATCAGTTTTACTGGAATTATAGGATGATGAAGTCATGGGATCAAGCAATTAAGGAATCTTCTCTGATAGCATCCCTCCCCAGCTGAAAACCTTTCAATGGTTTTCTATAAATTCTCAGAATTCCTCCCATGTTCCACAGGTCTTTTTTTCCCCACCTGGTTCTGCCTGTTGCTCAAGCTGGAGCCTGTGCCAGTCTCTCCCTTGACTTCCTCAAGCTCTTCCCCTTTCAAGGTCAGGTATATGCTGTGCTACCTGCCTGGCAGGATCTGCTTCTGCTTCTTCCTGCTCTTCCTTCAAGACCCTATTTAACTGTCTCCCTCTTAGGGAAGACTTGTTTGACCACCCATTCTATACAAGGGACCATGACTGTAAAAGAAGATTATAGGGAGACTCTATTTTTCCCTCCTAGTGTGTTATCACCATGTGGAAATAAACATTTACTTGTGGGACTCTTCACTTAATGTCTGTCTATGCCACTGGAATGAAAGCCCCACGAGGGCAGGAGCCTTGACTATTAGTTTAAGCCCACTGTATCCCCTGTGTCCAACAATCTCTGGCATATGGTTCATGCTCAATAAATATTTTTTGAATAAATGAATGAATAAATTGCAAATTTTGGCTCCTACTTACTGACTCCTGATGTTTTAGAGAATTTATTTATAAAAGTAGCCACTAATGAAAGTCTAGGTAGCTTTCATTTGAAAGCAAACATTTTTAACATTTTGGATGTTTATATATTGTTTTTGTATGGCTATGGAGGTAGGAGTCGACTACTAGATATTCTACACACTTGCAGTTATCACTAATTAGGGAAAGCAAAATGAGTTATTGGAAACACTTGAAATGTATGATCCATTAAATTGGCAATTAAAATGATTTAAATATGTAAACACTAAGGCATACTGATGGCACTGACATTTAGTTATGATCTTACAAAGCAAGCCTCATTTCTCTTTTACAAAATTGCAGATTTTGTTACACTTTTATGAATTTAGTAGAGTTAGAATTACAAGAAATGTGAGGAAGGTAATGGTTCAGTTTTATAGCCTCTTCATTTGTTTCTTACCACCTGATTTTCCAGAGCTAGGGGAAGGAAAGGGCAGAATGTCTTAAATGTGAAATGAAATTTTAGCATACTATGTCAATTGGATTAAAACCAAACAAAACAAAAGACTACAAGACACACACGCATGCATGTGTGTACACATATACACACAGAGAAAAATCTGTCAATATTAAAAAACATACACAGTTTGTCTGTTCCAAGGCAGAAAATGCCCATTCACTTCATTTACAGTAAAAGATTTACAGGAGTATACCCCTCTTTTTTTTTTTTTTTTTTTCCAAAAAAAGGCAATATTCTCCTGCATCCAAGGCACAGTGTATAAAGAAGCTCGTATTATCCCCAAGAATGGGATTACTAGTGGTATGGTCTACACTTTAGGTTGCTTTTCCATAGTGAGCCTGGCCTGTTCAAGGCCCTCTTCCTGCTATTGGAACCCTGACATGTTTATGGGGCTTTTCTCATGACACAGTCACAGTGGCTGGCATCAGCTGAGCTAACTAGACCTATGCAGTATATTGATTTAAAAATGTGCGAATTATAAGTTGAGAAGGAAAGTCTATGTTTTGAAAATTCTCTTGCAAAAAAAAAAAGTGTATTTAAGATTTTACCATTATTATTCATTTTTGTCAGAGTGAATGATTTATATGAACCTTGTCATTCTTTTTTTGTTCATCTAAAGAATGGCTCATCACTTCCCCACCCAAGAGTCCCATTTGGAAGGGTGAAAGAGGCAGGGTTCAGGAAGATTTCTGGATGGACCCGGGGAAATTTAACATACCCTTCAAGACATTCATTCATTCATTCATCAATATTTTTTTAGCACCTGAGTGCCAGGCAGTGTTACACACACATTTATGATATATTGATGGACAAAGACCCTGCCTTTGGGGAATTTACATCTGAGGTGCAAGGGAACTAGACAATAAATCACACACACATGCGCGCACACACACACACACACACACACGTGATTTATGTAATATATTTGAATCAAAGGAAAAAGACAGTAGATCAGAGAAAGGAGGATTAAATGTGTTGGGCTGGGGTTGGGTTGGGAAGAAGGCAGATGGAGATTTTAAGTGGGTTGTTCTGAAAGACAGAGTAACACTGTTGGAAGTACTATGGTTGTCTTTAGGCCCTGTTTCTGTTTGAGGTGAGCTGTTAGGACCTGGTGTGGACATTCTGGCATCTGGATAATGCAGGGCACATCCTAGCTTGCATGCTTCCTAGACAGGCCAGAGATTGAAGCAGTTACAACTACCTGCCATCTCTAGAGTCAGATGATTTGGGTCTGAACTGGATTCTACCACTTATCGGCTCAATAAGTACTCACTATCACCATCATCTCCTCAAATGACATTAGCTTACATGGATGGTGAAAGGGGATATGGCACATTCCAGGACATAGTGGAATACATTTCTAATAATATAAAATGACAGCATTTGTATTAACCAATCACAATAATGTTTGTGAAAGATGATCTTCTTGGCACTGGGAAATTGCGTCATAGTCATATAAGAACCTCTATTTACTCCACTGATTCCTTAGAGCTATGAGGCAATAACAAATGTATGAGACAGTGGACATATCAGAAATAGCCTTGGACAGAGACTAAGGAAACCTACTTTAATTCTTGGCTCTGCTGCTGAGATCTCTATGTGCTTCTAGCAGATCTCCTCACCTCTTTGGGCCTCAGCTTCCTTACTGTGAAATTGATGGGGGGAATTCATTCTGGTTTCTAATATTTCACGGTTTTGTGATTTTTTTTCATGCAGTGAATTGCAAATAAAACTGAGTTGAAAAGAATGATTAGAAAAAAGGAGATTTTTGTGTTTTATGTTTTCCATTAAAAATAGACCTCTGTGAAAGTTGAACAAAATATTCTTAAGTAATCAATCCTACAATGAAACAAGCAAAGGAAGAAAAGCTTTGCTGTTATAAACCAAAACTGATGTTGGAATTGGAATGAGCTTGGGGAAGCACAGGCACCTCTGAATTATATTAAGATATTTCAAAGTCCTTCACTTACCTGTCCACACTCATTACAGTCATGATGGCACTACAGGCAAATTGGTTACAAGTATCCAGGGATGTGATGATGGTGCAGAGAGGCCCCCCAAATACCCACTCTCCCCCTCGGGCCCACTGGTGAATAAGAAAAGGCATTCCAATGATGTGGACCAAATCAGCCACAGCCAGGTTGCAGATATAGATGTCAGGGACTGTTTTTTTTCTGGACCTGAAAGAGATAGAGGAAACTGAGGTTTGACATTGAATGTATACAGACTATTCAATATATGCTACCTGATACAATTTTTAATTGCCATAATGCATTTTAAAAAGTTAAAGGAAAACCTACACAAATGCATAGAGGAAATGCCTAGTCTTGTGTATATTTAAGCATTTTGAACTATTTATTTGATAACTTACTGTGGTGGTTTAAAAATATGTCCACAAAATCTTTGATATTCCTTTCAATAGGTGTAGCCTAATTCCCTCTCTCTCTTTTTTTTTCAATTCCCTCTCTTTGAGTGTTGACCTTATTAACTTGCTTCTGACAATGAGAATATGGCAGAAGTCACAGTGTGTGACTTTGAAATTGGGTCACAAAGTTATTGTAGGGTTTTCTCTTTGCTCTCTATTGGATTGCTCTCCGTGGTGGAAGCCTGTTGCCATCTTGTGAGGATACTCAAGCATCACTATGGAGAGGTCCATGTTGAGAGGAGCTGAAGCTCCAGTCAACAACCAGTCAGTACCAGCTTTCGAGGTATGGGAATGAGCTACCTTGGAAGTAGATCCTCCAGCTGCAGCCAAGCCTTCAGATGACTGTAACCCTGGAAGACAGCTTGATGGCAACTTTATGACAGATCATGAGCCAGAACCAACCAGCTAAGCTGCTGCTGAATCCATGACCACTGGACACACATGAGACAGTAAACGTTTATTGTTTCAATCCGGTATGTCTGGGGTAATTTTTCAATGCAGCAACAAGTTATACCAACTTTAAATACACTCAGACAAAAGATTTAGTCTTTACTCATTCCTAGTATTTAAAACAGCTGAAGACTGAAAATAAATGATTTCTGTTGTCTAATGCTTTTTTTTTTTTCCTGTTGTAGCTTAGGCCATTGTTAAGATTTCAACAATGACTTAGAAATATTCCAGTAAAATCTAACAAATAGCAAAGACTATTAATAAAGACCCTGAGATCCAGACAGAGAGAGTCATCTGAAAAGAGGGAGCTGGTAGATGGCACTGAGAATGATGTCATGTCTCCTGTGGGGAGCTGGGGGTGGGAGAAGTGAATTCAGTGCTATCTAGAAGTGGCCTTCTCATCAGCAGGTGAAATACATTTCTGAGAGCAGAAATTTAAAATTCAGTTGGTTCCTCTTTCAAGGAGCTGGCACATTCAATAATAAACAGGTATCATCTTTATCTGGGAGATGCTGTTTATTAATTCAACAAACATTTTGTTGAGCACCAATTACATGGCAGGCATAATATTGTGCTCTAAGGCTGTAAAGCTAAACCATGTATAAACCCTGTCATCAAGGAGCTTATAGTCTAGACTTGCATAAATAAATGATCACATTACAATTTGATGAGAGAAAACTAGAGACAAGTACAAGGTCAAGAAGCACAAAGAAGGGGCCCTCTCCTTTTTCTTGGGCACAGTCAAGACAGGTTTCTTGGCAGATGTGGACAAATAAGAATTTAAAGAGCATATAAGAACCAGTCCTAAGATTATGCGACAATTGCTAGTTTTCTCCTATTTCTTTTTTTTAATTAATTAATTAATTATTATTATTATACTTTAAGTTCTAGGGTACATGTGCATATCGTGCAGGTGTATTACATATGTATACTTGTGTCATGTTGCTGTGCTGCACCCATCAACTCGTCAACACCCATCAACTCGTCATTTACATCAGGTATAACTCCCAATGCAATCCCTCCCCCCTCCCACTTCCCCATGATAGGCCCCGGTGTGTGATGTTCCCCTTCCCGAGTCCAAGTGATCTCATTGTTCAGTTCCCACCTATGAGTGAGAACATGCGGTGTTTGGTTTTCTGTTCTTGTGATAGTTTGCTAAGAATGATGGTTTCCAGCTGCATCCATGTCCCTACAAAGGACACAAACTCATCCTTTTTTATGGCTGCATAGTATTCCATGGTGTATATGCTCCTATTTCAGGGCTAATGCTCTGCTGTTTGGAAGCTCGTGTGTGTCTTTATTATTCATTGGCTACAACTTCTATAACCTGTGAGCTTCATTTCTCAGCTGTCAGATTCTCATGTGAAACATCAGATTGGGTGAGGCCGTCTCTTCTCCAGGCCTTGGCAGCACCCACTATGTGGGGCAGTTACTGCCATGGAGTCCTCATTCAGCAACCATACTGTATGCATTGTTGCTGCCACTAAAAAACAGGTTGGTTCCTTGCTCTCAGGAACTTAGTGCCTCACACCAGAATGACCAAGAGGGAGAGATGACATGAAGAAAAGATCATGTCAAACAAAAGACCAGCCAGCTGACTGTCTTTGGTCTCTCATCCCCTGTCCTCTCCAGGCCATTAGAGTGGGAAATGGAGAGGGGACAGGGAAGAGGGACAGATATTAGCAGTCAGATAGAAAGAGCTCCAAACTAAAAAAAAAAAAACAGACAAAAAAATCGTAAATCTTGGTCTATAAATAGACGTTATTTGCATGTGAATTGGGATATAAACCATAAGCAGTTGCTTAGGTCTCAATTGCAGCAATTAGATCCATGGCCCTTGTTTTTCTCTAGAGGGGTACCCATCATTTACTGATAATGAATTATGGTAATTATATTGTGGAGACAGTGCAGGCCATTAACTGCCAATTAAAAAGAATTAAATAAAAGTGTGTCTCGATATTCTGTATAGTACAAAGAGAATTCTGAAGCAATTGATAAATTTATCTGGACATAAGTTACTAGGGCAATATAAATAACACATTATATTTATTATTGTCTTCTTTACTGAAAGCAACAGCATCGAAATTAAAAACAAATAGAAATTGTAAAATTTCTAACTATATAAATTATATCCCATTTTAGGTCTAATTTATCTTCAGATTTCCTGATGTCAGACTTCATGAGATTTATGTTTCTTATGATGTAAACATTTAAAATAAAATACAAAGGCTTGTGATAATTTTGGCTAACATGTGTTCCATATGGTTAAAGTGGTCATATCTAATGCTCATTAATTTGAGGAATGACAAAATAAATTACGGTATTCTACATTACCACACTCAATAGGATATAGCTGTTATAAGTCATAGTTTGAAAGAATATTTAATCACATTGGAAAAAAAAAGAAAGAATACTCGTGTAGAGCATGACTCTAAATTTATTTAAACATTTGTTAAAAAATTTGCAGGAACAATATGTCAAGTGATCACAGTGATCATCTATTTGGTAGTAGTATGACTGATTTTTTTTACTTTACTGTTTGCATTTTCTGACAGTTTTTCAAAATTTCTATTAAAACCATGCTTACCTTTTGCAATCAGAAATAACAACATATGATATGGATTCAGTAAAACTAACAAAACACAACACTACGCATGTAGGCTGCTGTGCTTGTCATTCGCTAGCCTGTCCTCAGGCCCCTTTGCCAACTGGCTTCTGATTAGGTTTGGCCAATCGGAAGCACTGGTGGGAACTGGAGAGTAAGGAGGAGAAGAGAAGCCAGAATGTAGCCCTCACTCCATGATCCAAGATACCAGTGGGGCTCCAGCTCCCACCAGGCAGCCCAGACTGCGGAGGGCTGTAAAACCTCTTTCTCCCTTTCTCCCTCCAGCTTGGGGCAGGGAGAGGAAGGTGATGTTGGGGTGAGGGATGGGGTAGGGTGTAGAACTGGCTTCCTGCTCTTGTTAATCTCTGGGTTGCCTCACCATCCTGTCTGGCATTTAACTCTAGTTGAATTAAATTGCTATCATGAGCCAATGCCAATGGATTAGTAGTCATTTCCTGAAGCACTTTGCTGAGAAGAATTCTGAGTCCTCACACAGGACAGACCTATACAAAACAGATGCTACACAAGACAGACCTGTGTGATTAGAGATGACTGCTAAGGGTGAGAGAGTTTACAGTAGAGTCACATATTTGCCAACCCTTCCCTACATAGATAGAGTGATATAGTAGAAAGATAACTTAATTGGGAATTTTATTTTCATTTCTATGCCCTCACTCATTGTGTCGTTAGGCAAGCCACTCAACTTCTTTAGATTCCCAAGCCGGCTTAGCATATTGGCCAACTGGACCACAGATCTGAACAAATGTGGTTGCAAGGTACTCTGGCATCTAAAACATATCTGTGCAGCCAAGGGTATGGGTCAATTCCAACAAAAGTCTGTGTATGGCTGACATTTGGAATGGTAGAGGGCTGGGTCAGAGGGAGCTATTAGTTATTATTTAATCTGGGTTGGGAAAAAAGAGACCTGTGTTCTAAAATGTTTCCCATCCCTGTCAGCAACTGGAATTCTGCCATTAGACAGTATTCCTCTAGGTTAATACATTTATTAACCTCTGTTTGTAACCTCTGTTTCATGATTTCATGACTTAGTATTAATTAGTTGACCTGACAGGGAGATGAAGGCAGGAAGTGACAAAATGGGAACTCTTTATTTTTGGAGGATAGGGCACCTTTTATAGAGACTCTGCCCACTTGAAGGGAATCTATCAGTAAACAGAAGGAAGATGTGTTCAGAAGGTGGATGTGGGGGTCTGATAAAAAAAAAAGTCAGTGCCTTTATTGAAATACAGGTGATTCCCAGGGCCTGCTGTGCCTGTGGAGAATAGTTGAGTAATGGGGTTGAGTTCATTAATCGGTCTCCTGGGAACGCAAGAGGAAAATATTATAATTGGCTCAATTTTCTGCCTACCTTTTCTAAACTGGCTTCTTTTGACCTGCTACAAATTTAATGTACAACAGACTAGTGATGATCTGGCCTCATTATTTTAAAGTCACCCTCCTAATACACAAGTTGCTTCTTGCTTTTACAAAAGGCACATAGAACATCTTATTATTGAAGCTCCACCTTCCTTAAACATATTTATTTTATATATGTTTCTAGTCTTCATTTGGCAAAGTCAGAAATTGGTTCATTGCTTGCTTATGACTCTTAGTTCTATTGATGAACACTGGTTTTCATACAATTACTACCATAAAAGGAAAAGTCATTAAATCTTGTTTAAATGTTATTTATTTCTCCTTATTGTTACTGTAGTCTTAATATTTTATTTAATTCAACTGTCTGTTCAGAAAGTAACAAAAGATCATGGCAAAGCAGGATGAAAACATTAATACAAATTGCCTTAAAATATTTAGAGAGCAATTTGCAAAATGTTGATACATTCCTAGCCAACTAACTAAATAAATAAATGTAAGTTGCTTTTAAATGACTTTTGAAAGATTAATAAATTTTTGGCGAGCAATTTGCAAGGAAAAGTGTTAAAATCTTAGCAAAAAAATTAAAACTGTTGTTTTAATTAAAAGTTGTTCCCGATACTTTTTGAAAGATTAAAATATTTATTTTAAAAGCTCCATTAGCATTTCTTTATCTAATGTATATTCTCACATTATGTATAAAATGATAATATGAAGAAATGATAGATTTTTCACAATAATGCAAACAAATTGGTCCATATAATGGGTCAAGTGTTTTTTTCCCCAGTTAAATGATGGTTGACTTCATGTTGAAAATCTGTTTCCATAAATCATAGCTCAGAATTTACTTTTAGAAGAGTTCACATTGCACATGTCTTCCTTTTTTTCAACTTTGTCTCTGTATAAGTAGACGGGATTAGCCTGTTATCTACTGGTGTAAATTGAGGGGTCCAAGAAATTTCTCTGGCTCCAAACATCTCTTCAACAGCTTGTCACAAGGCCTGGAATCCCACACTGCAAAGGTTTTACATATAAAAGCCACCTGTGAAAATGCAAACATTTCAGAAGGGCTAAGACCTAATAAGGACTTGGTTTTTCAATGGTGGTACCAAGGTTTTTGGGTGTAGGACACACTATATGTATCTGTAGAAGAGCAGGGCAGAAATACTGGAGGCCATGAGGGAGAGATGGAAGGAGAACTGGGCAGGTCCAACAGGCAAACAGGAGGGAGCTAGAAATATTCTCAAGTATCTGGCTATTAACTCTCTACTCAGCATTATTGCCTCTTTGAGGCTCCCTAAGAATATTTGATTACTTCCATTTTCTTTCCTGGAACTCATCTGAGCCATCTTTTTCCCCCCGCAATTGATTGCTTTTATTGTCTTTCTTGTATTATTTTTCAAATTATTCCATGAATTTAAATCTCATCTTCTCCACTAGAATATGAACTTTTTAAACAGATGCTGCTTTTTTTTTTTTTTTTTTTTTTTTTGGTATTTTCATACACCCTAGGGCAATGCAGGGCATGCAATAGGTATTTACTAATATATATTGAATGGACATTCTTCTAGCACTTAAAGAAAAGTTTAAAATGCTTGATATTCACAAATGGCTTTACAGGACACAATAAGGAATGCCTGAATTTATTAAGAGTAGAATCCCTATGTACTAAATAAATCTTCAGCTGTGACTGGTATAAAAAATACCATTGATCCTCTAGTTCTAACTGCAGAGAGAGCGAAAATGAAAGTTTGAGAGAGGGCTGGCTGATGAGACGCCACCCGGGGAAGTGACAAGTTATGAGTCTTCTCGGGGTGATGAGCACCATCTGCATGACCATCCTGAGGGCTCCTCTTGCTCTCAATTAAGGCTGTGAGGATTCTTTTATCTTTATGGCAAATCCAACAACTGTCTCTATAATTTTGATGACCTCTTTGTTTTCATTAGCTGTGGAGGAAATAGCCTAGAATTTGGAATAAGATCTGAGTTCAATTGCCAGGATTGCTACTTACTAGCTCTGTGATGCTGGACCAGTTATTTACTCATCTGAGCCTCTTTTCTTAAATATATAGTACTGTATATATAATAGTACTGCTACATATATAGTACTATATAATGTACTATATATAATGTACTATATATAGTGTATATATATACTATATATATAAGTACTATATAATGCTATATAGTACTAGTATAATAATAGTGCTGCTGTGCTTTTTAGTGCAGTATGTTCCACAAAAGTTTTTTGCAGTTATGTGTTAATATGATGCTGAAAACACCTATTAGGTAGTACAGGTTGGGCTCATCCCTAACTTGGAAATCCAAAATCTGAAATGCTCTAAAATCTGAAAGTTTTTGAGGAATAACATGACCCTTCAAGTGGAACATTCCACACCTGACCTCATGTGATGGGTTGCAGTCAAAATGCTGCTGCACAACACACAGCATTTCCAAGGGAAAAATGACCCTCCCAGCCCCCTTCAGCTGCTGTCGTTTCGCAGCTGGTGCCGGTGTTCTGGTGATGTTACTGGGCTGCTTAGTTGCCCTGAACACATTATTTTTCACTGTATTAGTGGTATTAATGGCCATATTTTTTACTGCTAAGTACCGTTGTGTGAATAAGTTTAAGAAAGTGATTGTTCATTGGTTAGATGTAAATCTGGAGTCAGGAATGATGGTGATGCCGGACAACCACAGATGTCCACATAGGTGGCAGAGAGAGTGATGACTTTACTATCTGATGGTTTGGTTTACAAAAATTTGTCTCATGCATAAAATTATTTAAATTATTACATAAAGTTACTTTCAGGCTTTGTGTATAAGGTGTAAATGAGACATAATGAATTTTGTGTTTAGACTTGGTCCCTTCTCCAGGATATCTCATTATGCATATACAAACAGTGCAAAATCCAGAAAAATCTGAAATCTGAACCACTTCTGGTCCCAAGCATTTTGGATAAGGGATATTAAACCTGCAGTCTAGAATATCTTTTATAACATATGAATATGCACAAACATTTTTAAAATGGCAATTTTAAGTATAATCAGAAACTAGGAAAAAAAGTTAACATCCTATAGTTATTAAAACTAGCAAAACTTACATGTGAAAATCAAGATAGCAAATATACCAAGTAGTTATAGGGCTTGTGTGCACTAATTCTGAATCCATTTTATCAAGTCCCTAGAAAACAAATAACCAGTTCTTATTCTCCAGACTTTAGTCTCTACTTGAGAGGAGGGAATTACCTGAATTAGGTGAGATACGTGGTGCCCAGGCAGAGGTACTGGGGGGCAAATGTCTCTCAGTTTGGTCTATATAGGCTGGTCTACACAAAAGGAAACAGCCCACTACTTATGACTCCCTGCATCTTCTGGTGATCAGATAACGTCTCTCTTTTGCCCAAGTGAGTAAAAGAATCTCTTTCACCTGCCTAAACAGGTCAGCTTTTTAGGATAATTCTTATTGCTGGAAAATAAAATGTTGCATTGCAGTTTCAAATCTTACCCGGACCCTACCCTTAGAGATTCTGAGTTAATGGGTCTGGGGTGAAACTGTATATCAGGAGTTTTTAAAACTCCCCAGGTGATTCTAATATGCAGCTAAGACTGAGAGTCATTGCCCTAAAAATTCACTGACCCAGCAGTAAGCATTGGCCTAGGTCTTAGCATGTTGAGATTTCCAACTGAGATGTTACCTAATGCATGATGAAAGTATCTGTAGAATCTTCATTAATTATCTTAATTATCTTAAGCAAATATTTAAGAAATTGCATTTCATTAAGCAAAATGCTACAGGGGAAAGGATTCATTTAGGGAGCTTTGACTGTAGTTTCCTAAAGTACAGAAGGAAAAAAAAAGGAGCACTTACCTTATTATAGTGAATACGATGAGGATGTTGCCAACCAGCCCTGTTGAACAGATAATCCCAATCATGGAAGGGAGGATGACTGTATCTACAACACTGGCAGTTTGATAAGCAAACTCTTTATTCCAGGATTTGTTTGAAAGTTCGGCAGAGGTGTTCCAACAAGATGAGTGAAATGGATTCATTGTTCATGGACTTCCAGGGATTAAAGCTGTGAAGTAATAGGAAGTGATTTATTTAGTGAACATTCTCTCAATATAACTTCCTTTACCTAATTCAAATAATATTTTTGGGGACCTATTTTTTTTAAACCAAGATTCTATGGAACACAGGATTCCAGGTTGAGTATGATTTGTCCCTGTTCATAGTAATCTCACAGATTACCATAAGAGACAGGTAAACAGCAAGTTACAGAACAACATGAGAAGCACCATGATAATCTTTGTATCTTACCACATCTTACTGTACTATATGCTTTGAGCATAGGTGATATTTACCTAGTATATACTGGTCCTAGTTGTTTACAGATCGCTGGTATTCTTATTGGCCTGTAGGTCTGTTCATATTGGCTAGTATTCTTGTAACACTTATGTTGTTAAATATATCCTCTCTGTCTGCTATAAAATGCATGGGATCTACTGAACTCAGATTGTTTAGAAATGGAATGGATAAGACTTCCTGATGTGATTATTGGACTATCCTGAAGCATGAGGAAGAGTTAGCTGAGCAAAGCAGAGTTGTGGGAAGGGAAAAGTGTTGTAGCCAGCGGAGGCACCATGTGCAAAGAAGTATTCAAGGAGAAATGCTCACTGCCAAAAAATAAACAAGTAAATAAAGCCAAATAGAACTAGAAAATTATTTGCTTGATCATCTGTTTTGATAAAAGATATTTTAAAAATGCCATCTAAGTCTGGTGTTTGGTAATGATAAATTGGATTACTCAGATTAATCTTCCCACTGAAAATAAAATATGCTGGACAAAATATGTGTGTGTGTATTTATATTTATGTATGTCCATGTGTGTGTATACAGCAACTTAAAAATATTCAAGGTCTGAAAAATCAGTAGGCCTTCCCTGGCTGGGTTTTGAATGAGATCTTGAAAGGTAAGTGGAATATTGAAGCACCAATGCTATCTTGATTTAGAAGACATTTAGGGATGACATAGCATTTGAAGTCTGGTTCCATGTCTACAAGAAGTCCAGAGAAAAATTAGGGTCCAGGGCCTACTGAGGCTGGGGAATCTTACAGGAGATACCCTCCTCTGAGCTGGAGCCTCAGGGGCTTCATGATTAAGTGTATTATATTTGGTCAGATTAAGAAAGTTCCCTTCTATTCCCAGTTCATCAGCAGGTTATTAGTTTAATATTAAAGATGGTTTTTCCATCAATTGAGAGAGTGATGTGATTTTTTAAAAATGTTCTTCATTTTCATTTGGTTCTTTTTCATGTCTGTCATGTTACTTTGATAATTGAATCTCCCCTGAAGAAAACTTTAATTATGAAATGCTGAACATTTCCCTTTCAAAACATGAAAGAATGTCCACTATTACCACTTGTCTTCAATATTGGACTTCTCTAGCACAATGAGGGAAAAAAAATAGGATGTATGAGACTTGGAGAGTAAGAAAGTCTCAGTGTTATTATTGTGCAGCTATAAGAGAATTTAGTAAGTTTGCTGGATATGAAAACAAGCCAAAAAAATTGCATTTCCATATATTTTCTACAAACCATTAGAAAAAGAAGGTTTAAAAGAGTTAACATTTAACTGTTAAAAATATATATACCTAATACAAAACCCAGCAAAAATATGTAAGAACTCTACTGGAAAAGTTATAACATTTAACTGATGTTAAAGAACATTTGTAAATGGAGAAAAATACCAAGTTAATGAATTTGAAGACTCATCATTCTATAGATGTCAATTTCCCCCAGATTGACTTATAGATTCAATGCAATTCCAATAAAATTCCAAGTTTTATTGTCTGTGAAAGATGATAACATACTACTTCTGACATAAAAGACTAAGAATAGTAAGTAAACTCTTGAAAAAAGAGAACCAGATAGAAGGACTTAATTTATTTGATACTAAGACAAATTATAAAGATACAGTAATCTACATAGTGTGATATTTGAATAGGGATAGACAAATAGATCAAGGGAACATTAAAGAGAACATTAAAGAGAGCCCCCACACATATACATTACACTTGATACATGAAAAGATGTCACTTTAGAGAAGTGAGGAAAGAATGGACTCTTCCATAAATGATGCTGGGACAACTGCCTATCTAAATAGAAAAAAACCAATCTCACCTATATAAATATATATTATACACACATATACATGAATTCATATATGCTTACTTACACTTATATGCGCATTGATTTAAAATCTATACATACATAAAAATAAACTCCATGTGGCTTAAAAACAAATGTAAAAGGCTTTTAGAAGTGAATATAGAATATCTTTATGTCCTTGGAGTAAAAAATTTCATAAACAAGACACAGAAAACACAGATGTTTAATAAAAACCTGAAAAATTTGATTACAATGAAAAAAAATCTGTTCATTAAAAGACACCATTAAGACAGTAAAACAGGAAATTTCAGACCCTCTTTCTCCCATGGCAACACTGATTCAACAGCCATACATGGAACAATTCCTTTTGTGAGAAACCCAGAAACCAGTTAAGAAACTTTTGCATCCTAGGCAAAGGGGAAGCCAGCTACATCAAAGCCAGTAGAAGAACCTGTGGCACCCTCTTGCCATAGTATCTCTCTCTGGCACAGTGCCGTGTGATTGCGGGGAAACTTCCAGCTCCTGGCTTCTCCCTGGGGAGAGAGAGGAAACTGGAGCATATGTCCATTTTTCTGACTTTCAAGGGACTTCTTTGGGGACAGGCTTTTGTCTTATCTATCTCAGCGTATTGGCAGGAAATGGCATATTCTGGATAGCTGGGGGCTCCTCAGAAAAAAAGAGCTGGGCAGTGTGCTGCTGCTCCAGAGGACCTGTGGTATAGCTGACAGAGGTCAATGCTGCTTGGCAGTCTCTTCCTTCAAGGAGAGAAGAGTGGAGCATATATGCAGTGTTCTGGCTTTTGGGGGGTTTCCAGAGGTACTGGTTTCTATGTAGTCCAAATTGGGGCACTGATGAGACCTCATGTACTCTGGATGCCTGGAAGGCCACTGGGAACACAAAAAGAGTCGGGTGGCATACTGCTATTTTGGAGAACCTGTGGTACAAAAGATAGATACCAATGGAGAAAGAAATTACGAGTTCCAGGAAAAAAAATTGGTAAATCTCTCTAATTAGGAACCTAGACACAGACATCCAGAGGAGACACATCCACAGAAAATGTTTGCGATGTCCCCTGAATCTGTAGCTATGCTGCTTGGTGAAGATGTTTCCCTGTTTGGAGCCAGTCTACAAAGACTGGGAGAGGTAGCTATATTGTTAAAATGTGTAGATACTAATGCAAAATTACAAGGAACACAAAGAAGCAGAGAAAATTGGCCCAATCAAATAAGCCAAGCAAATTTTCAGAAATTGATACTAAAGAAACAGTTAGATACTAATTGCCTGACAAATAGTTCAAAATAACCACCATAAAGGTGATTGATAAACTCATCAAAACAATACGGGAACAAAATGAGAATTTCAGCAAAGGGATAGAAAATATAAAAAAGAACCAAACAGATTTTGGAGCTGAGAAATTCAAAAATTGAAATGAGGAATTCACTATAAAGTTTCAACAGCAGATTTGACCAAGCAAGAGAGAGAATCAGAAAATTTGAAGACAAGTGATTTGAAATAAAATAGGCAGAGGAGCAAAAAGACATAATAAAAATAATAATGATGAAGGGTAAAAATGGCCTAAAAGGCTACTGGACACCATTGAAAGGATCCATATACATGTTATGGGAATCTCAGAAAAAGAAGAGAAAGAAAGGGACAGAAAGCTTATTTAAAGAAATAATGGTTGAAATCTTCCTAAATATGGGAAGGGAAATGAACACCCAGATTCAAGAAGACCAGCCTACCTCAAATAGGCTACATCCAAAGAAGTCCACAAAGGCAAGAGAAAGTTTCAAAAGCAGCAAGAGAGAAATGATTCACTATGTACAAGGGACTTCCAATACATCTGTTAGGGGATTTCTCAGCAGAAATCTTGAAAGCCAGGAGAGAGTGGGATGATATAGTCACAGTGCCGAAAGAAAAAACTGGCAACCAAGACTACTACGTCCAGCAAAAATATTCTTTGAAAATTAAAGAGAGATAAAGACTTTTTCAGAAAACAAAAGCTCTTCAAGGAGAACTACAAACCACTGCTCAGTGAAATAAAAGAGGGCACAAACAAATGGAAGAACATTCCATGCTCATGGATAGGAAGAATCAATATCGTGAAAATGGCCATACTGCCCAAGGTAATTTATAGATTCAATGCCATCCCCATCAAGCTACCAATGACTATCTTCACAGAATTGGAAAAAACTACTTTAAAGTTCATATGGAACCAAAAAAGAGCCTGCCTTACCAAGACAATCCTAAACCAAAAGAACAAAGCTGGAGGCATCATGCTACCTGACTTCAAATTATACTACAAGGCTACAGTAACCAAAACATGGTACTGGTACCAAAACAGATATATAGACCAATGGAACACAACAGAGGCCTCAAAAATAATGCCACACCTCTACAACCATCTGATCTATAACAAACCCGACAAAAACAAGCAATGGGGAAAGGATTCTCTATTTAATAAATGGTGTTGGGAAAACTGGCCATATGCAGAAAACTGAAACTCGATCCCTTCCTTACACCTTATACAAAAATTAACTCAAGATGGATTAAAGACTTAAATATAAGACCTAAAACCATAAAACCCTGGAAGAAAACCTAGGCGATATCATTCAGGACACAGACATGGGCAAAAACTTCGTGACTAAAACACCAAAAGCAATGGCAACAAAAGCCAAAATTGACAAATGGGATCTAATTAAACTAACGAGCTTCTGCACAGCAAAAGAAACTATCATCAGCGTGAACAGGCAACCTACAGAATGGGAGAAAATTTTTGCAATCTACCCATCTGACAAAGGGCTAATATACAGACTCTACAAAGAACTTAAACAATTTTACAAGAAAAAACAACAACCCCATCAAAAAGTGGGCAAAGGATATGAACATACACTTCTCAAAAGAAGAAA